TATAAAGCCCTACCCCACCCGCCCCGCTCGTGTCTGTGCGCTACACCCTGATCAACACCTGGCGCCGGCCCAGGTTAGTGCCTGGCTGTAGAAATCAGCAGCAACCACCCTAGGATGAATGAACTGTGTGCCGGTAGTTGGTTTATTTTAATTTCAGCCTCAGTACAACGCAGTGAAACAGGTTCTGTTATCCCCATTTTGCAGATGTGGAAACTGAAGTTCAGGGAGACTACTTGCAAACGATCATGTAACAGAGAAGTGAAAATGGAATTTGAATAAAAGAATTCTAGATCCACTGGAGGTGAATACCTCTGAGTAGGTCGAGGAACTGAGGCTCATAGAAAAGGATTTGTCAAAAGTCAAATGCCTTGTCTCTGAGTCAAAAATGGCCTCCCCACAACAGTGACTGGCTTAAAGGCACCACATACATACTCGAATAAACGAGTGGCTCTTTCGTCTGATGATCTACCCACTTGGAGAGCTTGAATCAGAATAGTCCAAAACACCCTCCCCAAGACCACTTACTGTTATCCTAGGGCCCACTGAATTCAAAAGAGTTCACAAAATCCTGGCACCGATTGCATCTTGCTGATTAGGCCAGATTCTATCAGAACCCAACCCCATCTCCAGCAACAAACTGACACTGCAATTAGTTTGAATTCTTCCCCGAAGCCCGGAAGCCCAGACTCTCATATTCCAGCTTTGAGAGGGGAAAAATATAAGGCATAAGCCATAATACAAATTGTTCCTCAAAATGAGATTCATTCACTCGATGCTGGGAATGTTTTACCACGGCTCCACTCCTCCATTTGGTGCCCCTTCCCAAGTTAGTCTCTGACCCTTTTTAGGATGTAAAGGGTCAGTTTATGCACCAGCCTTGCCACTGGGCTATGTATCAGCCCAGTGAGCAATGTATCCAACCTTGAATGTCTGCTGCCTAGCATAATCCAGATGATAGAATCAGCCCTGGATGAAAGACTCACACAAAGGCTGTGCAGGCTCAGTGGTGGAGGGCTCTGATTTGGAAGCCCATACATTAATGACCACACACCTTGTGCCCTAAGGTGTAATCTAGGCCTGTAAGGGGAAAAGCGTGGACTAGGTGTAAGGGGACCTGCATTCTAGCCCCAGCCCTAGAGTCTCCTCCTCTGCATAGCAAATGCTTTTACGTGGTAAATTCCCCCCATTTTGAAAATGTAGCTGGTGTCATAGAATACAAGCGATTCTTAAAGCAGAATTGCTGACTAACTGACCTGGCACGTACCCTGGATACATGGAACATTTTGCAAATATTACCCAGGGAGCTCTCAGCAATCAAAATGAGACAAAACAATGCTGCTACTGGAGGCGCCCATAGCAGGTGCACTGACCCTGCCATGTCTATGTCAGCCTGAGTCTGGGTCATCTGTGAAGTGCTCTTTATATATATGACTTTTCTTTCTGTTTTTTGGGGGGGCACCAGGAATTGAACTCAGGACCTTGCCCTTGTGAGGCAGGTGGCAGAATCACTGAGCTAAATCCCCAGCCTGATATATGACTTTTCTGATGAGCAGCTAACTATATATGTGTGATTTGCGCAACATTTTTAAAGGTTTTTTTTCAGACAGTCTCACCACATAGTTCAGGCTGGCCTTGAACAGGTGGCAATCCTCCTGCCTCAGCCTCCTGAGTGCTGGGTTTACAGGCGTGCACCACCGGGATCTCTTTAAAAGTTTTTAAGCAGTGCTAACAGTGGAGAAGAAAAATGGGCAGGGAGGTTCTCATCTTCCTGAGGTTTTGTAACAAGTATGATCCACTTTCTTTTTTATTGTTTAATTTTAAAATTTTTTTATGATCCACTTTCACAATCAAAGTGACTTAAAGGTATTTTTTTGGCTTTTGTTTGTTTTGTACTGGGAATCGAACTCAGGGTCTCACACTTGCCAGTTTGGGGTTGCACGACTGAGCTACATGCCCAGCCCAAAGGTATTTTAATTTTTCAAAAGAGCAATGCCAGGCTGGCTAGTCTGACAGCATTTGAAACACTGGAAGACAAGTTAAATAGTAACAATATAAACCAACCCTCTTCTCCTCCACAGCAGAAAGAAGCCCTTCCTGGAGTGTCCAATTGATATTCTCTGGGCGGGACAGATGTGCTCAGGGAGGGCTTACCCTTAAGACTCTCCTGCCATGGCTCTGCCACTCTTATCAAAGTGCACAGGCCGCATCTGAGGCTGCCTCGATGGTGGGGCTCAGGGACAATCTGAGTTCCAATCCCCAACTCCACCGCGCCAACCCCAGCTCCTGATCACCTGCCCTAAACTCACCCGACTGCCTCCTACTTTCTAGACCTCTTGTGGGACCACCGATATGCTGAGTAACTGGAGTACAGTATTATTTTTGAAAAGGCAGCAATTGTTAGGAAAATGTATTACCATGGTAAAGAGAAAACTGCATTCTGCTGTAAAGCAGGATAAAAAGTCCTCCATCTGGGCAGTTTTGTTCAGCACAGCTGTGGCCACTTCTCCTCCTGAGGGGCTCGGGTTACTGAATGGGCCACATTCATCCTTGTTTCGAATTTAAAACATGTTCCTGGTTAGTTACTGAGGAAGGGCACTTTCCTGGGTGTGTGTGAGGGTTTCCACATTCTGACTTCACCTTCCTCAAATACAGTCATGCATGTGGACATTGCCAGCTCCAAGGAACAGTGCCTGAAATTCCAAATCCACACCTTTCACAGAATGCCTTGAAGTAGATTAAACCTGCTACGAACAATTTAAGGTTGTCAGGCCTGGATACCCTTTGGAGGCTCTTTTTCCAGAGAAGAAGAGTGCCTTTGGACAGCAGTCCAGGAGGATCTGAAATTTCCAGGAAAAAAACTACCATAAAGAAGGAGGAGGCTGGGTGTGGTGGCACACGCCTGTAATCCCAGCACTCAGCAGGCTGAGGCAGGAGGAGCACTGCAAGTTCAAGACCAGTTTGGGCTATATAGTGAGTTACAGGTCAGTCTCAACTACATGGTGAGAGCCTATCTCAAAAAAAAAAACAAAAAAACAAAAAAACAAACAAACCCTTTAAAAAAAAAAAAAACCCCAATAAATAAATAAATAAATAAATAAATAACAGGATGAACCGCTGAAGGAACTTAAGTAGGTTACTAACTGGGTACAATTTGTATACTTTTGTAAAGTTTAACAGTATCAAATTGTACTTGTTACTTTTAAGTCAATCTCTTTCTCTTTGTTTCTTTTCTAGATTTTTTTTTATTTTGGGGGGGGTTTGTTTGGTTTTTTTTTTTTTTTTTTA